ATATTTTTGCATAGGGCCAGTGAAACCAAGAATGTTCAACTGGTGTAAAGTATGGAACGCCATAGCTGTCACATATGGCATAAAAATACTATATGAATTGATATTTTCATTATTTTATATGATTGCATCAATATATTATTTGATTTTATCATTATATTATTCGATTTTANCAAGCTTAACAAACACCCTTAGCCCTCGCAGAAGTTTTAAAAAAGTGATCAGGCGCAAGTTACTGATCTCCGTCAACTGCACTGTCATATTTTGAATACATCAGATGGCCTGACCGTATTTGAAAGTATCAAGGAACAGAAAAGAAGAAACCAGTCAAAATGTGTACGTCATGCACTTTATAGGAAAAAATCTTTATTGGAACTGAAGGAGGGATCGCCAAGCCAAGACAAAACGCATCCTCAATTCTATTATCCAGACTATAAATATCACGCAGGAAGTCCAAGACTGAGACAAATGGAAGACTGAAATGAAGCCGTCGTACAATGTGTATGTTTCAACAAGAACAAAGAAATTATGTAAATGAAGTAAAATGCCTTTTAAATGTGATTTTCTGCTTGGAGGATACGGAATAACCCAACCAATAATTCTGCATTGTTTAAAGTTGTCAAAATTGCTGTCTTCTGTATTTCTCTATTTATCCATCTCTGATCCTCTCTATACAGTATTGGTGTTGTCTAAAAATAGGGGCAGGTCGTTCACAAAATTAAAACAACTTTATTACTCACTATACCATATTTTGGCATATGGCCAGTGAAACCAAGAATGTGCAACTGGTGTAAAGGGAAATAACCCTTATCATAGGACGCAGCGTGTAACAACAGACTTTTTCGAGTTTAATTTTTTTGTTAAACAAAACAGAAATGTGGAAGTCTTCATTAACAGTCTTATTAACTTGTATTTGTGTTGGGACTATGAATAGCCGTGTCTGGTTTTAGCCTGTGGAGGTTCTTAGCAGCTGTGCACGGTGTGGGGAAACACCACAAGTACGGGAGGGGGAGAAGTTTGGAAACCAAGCCCTACCTTCCGACGTCTATAATAAACAATGAAATAACACGAACGAACAAACCAGGATTAAAACAGAAAATGTTTACACCAAATTGTCGAATGTTTGTAACAAAAATTAAGGGGTGCTTTTGACACTTAATTACGTTGTCAAACTATCAATTTCGGATGAAGAAAGAAATTTGTCAGATGTAGAGGAAGCTGGTCCGACCGTATAAATATACTGCGATGTGAAACAGTAGCGATCCGACAGTCGTCGTGTACACAATGTGGCGGGAAAGGATGGAATCCTCATCAGCATGCTTGTGATTAATCGATCCACGTGACCCCTTAATGATCCTTAATGAGTAACGGGGTTTGTACGTATAGTAGCGTTGGTCCTCTCGGTAACTGTGATGGGGATTTCAATCCCACCTTCAGACGTTCATTTCCGGTTTGTTTCTAACATGTTTAAGTGTGAATCTTAAACACATAAACTACAGTTATGGTAATCGGTCCCTCACATCATGTATTCTAGGGACAGTCAGGGGCGTTAGATTGAGTATATAGCAAGCTGAGAGGAAACTTACGGGCATTATAGAAAATATATTTTAAAATAAGGAAGATATATTGATAACAAGTTATAGTGTGGTGTATTGTGAACATTTAAGATTTTGGCAAATGAATTATAAAAAAACCCACCATCCAATGTCCTTGTGATGGTTAAATATAAAAGAAATGACATGAGTTGCTTACGGTACTTCCCTAGTACTTTAACCTGCGTATTTAAATGTGATATATTAGAAAATAGTCCCCGGCGTTTTGTCTGTATTAAAAATAATGTTTAGGTTTGCTGTCCCTGCAGACTTGCGGAAACCTCCTGAAGTTATTTTTTAATTAGTACAGTACAATGTATTTTGTTCTGGATGATTAATTATTTAGATGACTCGTCCACACTATCAGCACTCGTAACGTCCGTTCAAACTCCATTGGGTTAAACTTTAGTAGTCCTTGTTCTGATTGTACAAAACTACATACGTAAAAGTCTGAACGAGATCAAATAACGTGGCAAAACGCGTTTTAAAGACATCGTTTAACCGGTTGCTTTTCAAAACCTGTCCAGCATAGCCTAATGCTAAATTTTAATGCAGCAAATGTTGAAAATGATTTAAAACCGAAACTAACATTTTGCACGGGCATTAATTCAAAATCATCACCTCGCGACAAGAAATACGGAAATACTGTGATCTTAAAAATGTTTTGTCAAATATCGGTTTTGAAAATGTTTAGTGATGCCGTGTTCGGCTTATCGCTCTCAGTAACCTCTTCCCAGACATAGATATCATCTGTAGTCACATACAGCTCTCAGTAACTTCACCTCAGACATAGATATCATCTGTAGTCACATATACAGCTCTCAGTAACTTCACTTCAGACATAGATATCATCTGTAGTCACATACAGCTCTCAGTAACTTCACCTCAGACATGGATATCATCTGTAGCCACATACAGCTCTCAGTAACTTCACCTCAGACATAGATATCATCTGTAGTCACATACAGCTCTCAGTAACCTCACCCCAGACATAGATATCATCTGTAGTCAAATACAGCTCTCAGTAACCTCTCACCAGACATAGATATCATCTGTAGTCACATACAGCTCTCAGTAACTTCACCCCAGACATAGATATCATCTGTAGTCACATACAGCTCTCAGTAACCTCTCACCAGACATAGATATCATCTGTAGTTACATACAGCTCTCAGTAACTTCACCTCAGACATAGATATCATCTGTAATCCCATACAGCTCTCAGTAACCTCTCCCCAGACATAGATATCATCTGTAGTCAAATACAGCTCTCATTAACTTCACCTCAGACATAGATATCATCTGCAGTCACAGACAGCTCTCATTAACTTCACCTCAGACAAAGATATCATCTGTAGTCACATACAGCTCTCAGTAACTTCACCTCAGATATAGATATCATCTGTAGTCACATACAGCTCTCAGTAACTTCACCCCAGACATAGATATAATCTGTAGTCACATATATCTCTCAGTAACCTCTCCCCAGACATAGATATCATCTGTAGTCACATACAGCTCTCAGTAACTTCACCTCAGACATAGATATCATCTGTAGTCACATACAGCTCTCAGTAACTTCACCTCAGACATAAAAAAACCTGTCCTGTGGTGGTAAGAATCCGCTTAAATCAGTGTGTCTGGTCGGGAGACAGGGCGATACTGATCCAGGGGAAATAACTCTTAGCAATATTGTAATGACGACAAGAATGAACCTTTCAAATTCAGTGTATATCGTGAATTTTAATGGACCAACCCAAATAGTGGTTTTTATGACTTTTTAATCCATATATGATATACCAATCACTCTCCAGGATCCCTGGACAGCTCCTATACGAAAGGAGGACAAGACACTACAACAAGACAAGACAAGTGTCTGCACATCTTGTCTCACGATTAATTAATGTGATTCCAATTGCACAGAGACAAGTTATAAACATGCTTTATGACGGAAAGTGGGCGTCACAGTCATGGCGGTAGAGCTAGCCCTTGTTAGGAGTGGATTCATTTAGGAGCGCCGGGGTCCAGGGCAGGGTCTTGACAGGGGACAAGGGGTTCAACATGCATTTTTTTCTGTTTTTGTTATTCACCTGCGTACCAGCGTACAGGGAGATACGCATCTGACTGTATATGTACATTATTATTGACATTTCCCTGTGTATACCAGACATTTCCAGGGGATTATCATATAGTGGTAAAATAGTATCTCTAAAATGCAATATCCATATTTTAATTTTAAACAATGGACCCATTTTTGTATACGATAATCATAACCCCTTTCCCAATCCCCAAATAGTTTTAATCTTGGTCTTGAACAAAACTACGACTAGCATTTCAGTTAACCTTGTTACTGTATATGACAATCCCTCACTAGACCCAGGGTGTGTAAACAACGCTACAGTAGGCCTTGTCAACAACGTCAACAACTCGCCTAATGAAAGGGATACCATTGTAGGCAAAATCATGTACAGGCGGGTGTTAATATTCGGGTCGAACGGACACACAAAATAATATATATATACGGACTTCAGGATGAGAAACTAGGTGAAAAATGAAACCACATAAACCGAAATGTCTAATTAACGGTAATCAATCTAAGTTGAGTCTACTAGACACATGGTCATCTACATATCTGTTTCTTGAGTAATTCAATCAGGTTATCTAAGGATCCGCGTACCACTGCCAAAATCACCATGCAAAGCTTTGATAAATTATTCAAGTTCTGAAAAGAAAAACCATGCATTGCAGGACTTATAAAAGGCATTAAATAAAGGTGAAATGTGTAAAAGATAATCATAAACTGTGTTCTGAGTATAAAAAAACGGGTCTAGACCGGGTTTCGAACATTGGAACTCGTATTGTTGAGTGGAGTGTTGCTCTAACCGTCTCAGCTACCTGGTCAACGGAATTGAAGTGTTTTGTACAAACTCGGCTACATTGCTACAGTTATATTCAAAACGAAATAAAGGGGAGACTATAGTCTAATATATATTCTAAAATCCGGAGTACTGCACGAAACAATTTTACTGCTGAATATCCATATATAAATACATTTTTATTTCCAACCAAAATTTCTTTTAACGTCATTTCAATTTAAAAAAAAAAAAAAAAATGCTGTCAAAAATGATCAAATAACCAATTAACTTATCATGGTTAAAATCAGAAGAACCGGATATTTATATAAAATTTCATCCAAATGGGACGAAAATTGCATACAGGAAAAGAAATATTGAAAAAACCCTAGCATCATCGATCATGAGACTTGGGACACGTCACTGCATATATCCCACATCCTGTACTATAACGCTGACCGTAAGCAACGGTCAGACGTATATATTCGGCCTTTAATCGATTAATATGAATTTTATACCGTCCACTATGACTTGAAACGTGTACCTGCAAGTTTAAAAACCGCGGGAAAGTATTGCTTTCACTGGAAATACCTTCGGAACTTTCGGCTATTTTCATTTTCTTATGATAAGGTCAAAGTGACTCGAAATATTTATTTACCTGAGCTTGGAGCTGCCAGTGGTTTGTGAAGTGGCATACCATGTCTATTTGTAAGGGAAATCCATGATGTATTCCATTGGAATGGATTGACAGTATCCTTTCTGTTATTCCAATCAAAAGAAAATGGCGTCAAATAAAGAAGACGGATCTGGCGAAAAGACTGTAAACCAGCTGTTATGGGTTTACCTGCTTGTGTCGGCATCCCTCTCCCTTGCATGGGGTTTGGGGGTGTGGGGATGCTCGTTTCTCTGGGTGTTTATTGTCATAGCAGCCCTGTTTGTCGTCTGGAAGACAAAGCTCACTAATATCGTGAAGAGACACTTATCAATGGAAGAACAGAGGATACACAGGAAAAAAGCCCTGAGACAGAGTGAAACGCTTGAGTGGCTCAACTTCGTTTTTAACAGATGGTGAGAGTGACAGCACAATCAGTCATGCGTGTCATGTAATTTCATATAATAAGTAACTCTGCTAAATCACTTGTTGACCGGGTGTCAAGTTTTTGCTTAGCGTATATGAGTTGACACAAATAATGGTTTGTAGTAAATACATCAACTAGGACAGGGGTATATATAGTGTATGCAGCATTCTGCTTGTTGAACATTAGTGTAATTCTTTTTAATATGTGTAGGCGTAGGCCTGGCAGTAGTTATAACTGTATGCATATGCAACCAGGGACTGATCCAGGTGTCTGGTGATAAAGGGCATCAGTTTAGATAAGGAATGCACTTGTGTATAGTTCGAGTTATACTCATAACACATTGAAATCATGAATGTGAAACCGTCTCTTGACAAACATAATATAATGGTATATGCAAGTTTGGAACAGAAAGATAGACATAGAGGTTGGGGGCTATTGAAAAAAACAGCACAGAGAGATGTATAAATGCAAGATGAATTACAGAAATTGTGCCCCAAAACTGTTACGCCCCAGACCATTTTGCACCAAATGTTTTTCACATCGCCCCAATTTTCAGTTCATTTCGCCCCGAGTATGACAACCATATCTTCCAAAATTTCTTTCTGCACCAAAATCTGTTCCGCCCCTAAAGCTGTATCACCCAAATTCTTTATAGCCCCAACAGCTACGAACCTATATTAAACAATATCTGATCTTGTGACAGTGGCAGTAGTTACTGCCATTTTTACCTAAATATTAATGATCAGGAACACGTAACCTCAAGACTCAATTGGCATTTTTTTTTTACATAAATGTTCATGTAATGTTTTTAAAAATATTAATTGTTTTGATGAGTTACCAATTTGCATGTTGATGAAAGAGATTGTCAGTCAATTTGTGAAAAGTGAAAGATATGCCAAATGATGTGCCAATTGAGTTTCTGCGCTTCATATTACACAATAGACATTTTTGTCCTGGCTTCATTAGTTGAGAAGCAAAAATACTGTTCCTACCCTAAACATATGGTTTTGACAATATTTAGGGAGATTTATAGATGCTGGGGACAACTAAAAACATGATTGGGAGATATATAGAGATTACATATAGAGATTACATGTAGACTACTGACACAAGGTGATATATGGAGATTGTGGACAACTGACATTGTCACTGCAGGGACCATATAGAATTTTTGACAACTAAAATTATTACAGGGGTCCCTGTATAGAGATTGTGGACAATTGACATTGTCACAGGGACCATAGAGAAATTTTTGACAACGTTAACTGATATTATCAAAGGAAGATATATGGAGATTGGAGACTACTGACAATATTTCAGGGAGCTTTAAAGATGCTAGGGACTAACGACAACATGACTGGGAGATATATAGAGATTGTAGACAATAGCTACTGACAACATTACTGGGAGATATATAGAGATTGTAGACAATAGCTATTATTACCCAATAGTCTATATAAATTATAATTAGTCATTTTTGACTGTTTCTGGGTTTTTGTCCAATTTCGGCTGTAGGGGTGAAACAGTCAAAACTGTTTTCCCGGTCAGAGCGAACTGTAACCCGGCGCGAATTCGATGCGCAGAAATCCCCCCTCGAGAGCCGGGCCCTTCAAGCGTTTCGGTGACCGCGACTCAGTGTTGAAGCAATGGCAACATTGCATGCAGCATTGATACTAATATTTATTTGGTAATAAAACAATTGTTTCATG